GAAGAAGACATGGCTCTATCTATAGGTTAAGCTGATAAAGTTAACTATATGTGTTTTGGGTTAATTCTAAAGGTTCCCAAACTATTCTTTACATCATTGTCGTTCACAGACTAGTAGGGCACCCAAATTCTCGCTCATTATAGGCTATAAACGGAAAAGGTTCAATTTAAGTAAAAATATTTCACTAACCCATTCAAAGACATGAAATCTCACAAAAATGTAGGTACTTAACTTTCTCCTAAATGACAGAGCTTGGGTGTAGAGCTCATGCTATACGCATGCACATGAATGATAATATATAACATGAAAATAAAACACAAAGGAGAAAAAAAGCTTGTAAATTTAATAAAGTAGGCTTGGATAATATGAAGTCATTTGCTGGCCTGACTCTCTTTCTCCTAAGTGAAGTCATTAAACTGTCATAATGTATAAATCTGTTAACTTATAACTAGACTTGACTTTAAAAGTCACCACTAATCTTTTTTGATTAGGTGCAATTGGCCACCTAATTGAATATGTCCCTTTTTAAAGAAACATCTCAAGCTTAACTTAGGTATCTTTAAAATGTAGATTTTATGTCAATGAAACCAAGACTAGATCCAAGAGAATGGTTACGTGTGAAGAAAGTTATAGCACCCTTACAACGTCCATCAAATAATAATACCAATTTGATTTCATATTATCTAAGCCTTAAAATGTGTTTGTAATTTACCTAATAAATTTAATATTGAAAATTGTTCTTAAAATTACTTCAATTGTTCATTAGAAATTTAAAACAATTCCCTCACCTCAAGAGTATTCATAGAAACTTGTGTCCCTCTGAAGAGGTTTGTCATCAGATTCATTAACATAATTTTTAAGAAATCATTTTTTTTAAATCAATCAATAAAATCCTTCAATCATTTGGTAAGATTTTATATCAATGCATATCCCTCAATCGTTTGGTGGGATTTTTTGCTGAAAATCTTTTTTTGAAAAATTAAAAAAAAAAGGTCAAATCCTCTAATAGTTTGGTAAAATTTAACAAAAATTTAAATCCTTCAATTGTTTGGTAGGATTAAAATTTATTTTATTTTTTCTTAAAATCCATTATGAAATTCTCCAATCATTTAGTAAAATTCATAATTTAAAAAAAAAATTCTTCAATCATTTGGTAGGATTGAAAATTTATTATAAAAATTTCTTTTAAATAAAGAAGAAAGATATTTATTATAAATTTTTTTTAAATAAAGAAGAAAGAGAAACAACTAAGTAACATAAATAAATATACAAATAAAGAAGAAAAAAATAGAAATTACCTTGTCTTCTTTCTTGTTTCTTCGAAAACTTTAAAAATTTTTCTAGCAAAATTTTTTGTTGAATGTCTCCTTTTTGTGTTTCTTATCAACTTCTTTTTCTAACACAAAACTCTCAAAAGAAAATACTAATTATCCAAACCTAAAACACCATAAAAGACTATAAAAAAACTTTTAATTTTTTTTCCTTTTTTTTACTATTTCTATGTGTTTTTTTGCTGTGTATATCTTTGCTCTTTTTTCTGTTCTCTTTTATGTTGAATCTGATGGGGTATTTATATGGTTTAAATTATGAGATCCCTAAACCAAAAAGAGTTTCAACTTCTTTTTAGATTAAACTTTAGACTTTGATTTCAACCCTAACTTTATAATAAAAAAAAAAATCTCAGATAAACTCAATCACCTCAAACTTTTTTTTTAACATTTAAAAAACACAAACAGTTACAACCCTAGACAAATTTGGGTGTCTATAAGATTTTTTTATATTATTTTTGCAGAAATTAATGTTTAAAACTTGATGTTTTCATTTTCATCAAAGGGTGTTTAGTGATTTGATATCACAAATGCAATGAGAAATCAAATAAGGCTTCATTGTATCTTGGAAGCATTTCGATTATATGACTTTTGCATACTATAACTAGTAGGGACGAAACAAGCTTTAAGGAAAGTGTCATTTGCAACAAGGCTTCGAGTCATGTTTTGTTCTTTTAAGGTTTCATATTAGGATTGACTAAGGCTTGAACAAAAAATGCAACTAAAAATAGAAATGGATGATAATCATCAAGATACAAAGTTCGTGATGAAGATTATAGAAGTCTTGGATAATGGATTGCCTAAGGGCAATCTGGGAAGAGTAATCGATTTCTTGTTAATGATAGTTGATTGCTTTTCTAAACAAAATGTCCCAGATCTTAACCAAGTCCTAAGGCAATCAACTGCTCAGGGCCAATTATTAGTGCAATCAGCTGCTCTTGCATAATAGTTAATAGAGTAGTTAGCTACTCCATTCTTATTTGATTCTAATGATTTTCCATATGTTTAAAATATCATTTTTTTCAATACACATGCATATTAAATGATTGTAAAACAATGTTTTCACTTTAAAAATCTTTAGAAAACATTTCTTTGATAATATATGCAACACTATATTATGTCAAGGAAATATCCACATGTTGTCAACAATTATGTGTGCTATTGGTAGAATATTGGACTCTTAATTTTAGGGGCTAGAATTCAAATATTAACAACCTCAAATACAAAAAAAAAAATATCACTTGTCATGCCACATAAGCTACAATAACAAAAAAAAAAAAAAAACCAAAATAGAACCATTTAAAAAAGTTTGGAACTTAAATGAAACAATTCAAAGATTAAGACTTAAAGAAAAACCAAAGTAAAAGGTTTGGAAGTATTGACATATTCATTTACAGATAGATGTGCAACATATCTAAAAAGGAAAAAAAAAGTTTTATGAATTAATAAGGGAGCGTTTGGTTTATGGATTCTTATATTTCAAGAGAAAAAGTGATATTGAAAGGGAATATATGATTCCTCAGTTTTGTTGACTTAAAAATTTTAAGATTTTTGTGTTTGGTTTAAAGGCATGTAAAATTATTTAATAAAGTCTTTTACTATATTTTTCTTAATGATATGTGAATAACACATGATACTTATAACACTAACATATGAATAACACGTGACACATAAATAATACGTTATCTTTGTTGAATTTTTTTTCATATTTTCAATAAAGATAATCTTATAATCCTAATTGCTATTCTAATTATCTCTATATTTTAATATTAAGTAAATGTATTTTAGATTTTATATGTAATAATATTAATTAAAGATATTTTATGCTTTATTTTAATTTTGTTACTAAGTAGCAACAAGGTTGAAACTATAAATAACAGAAATCACATTTATTTTTAAAATTTAAAGAAACAAAAAAAGATAATATAGTTTGAAAATGCAGTCAAATGAAGGCAAATGACAAAAAATTTTCATTTTTCCTCTTGAATCTAAAAAAACTAAAAAAGAAAAGAATTTTGTATTCTTCATATATTCTCTCTTTTTATGACACAATTAGAAATTTTAAAAAATTTTAGAAATCACATTCCATAAACCAAAATAAAAAATCAAATTATGAAAAGTAAAATTCTTGCCACAAATCTTATTTTCCCCTAAATCAAACGCATTTTAAAAATATTAAACAGATTTCAAAAAAATTTTAAAATTTATCTAAAACTTAAATTTGTTTGCACAGGTCAAGCTCGACTCAAACCGAACCCTAGATATGAATTTTAAATTTAGGCTCGACTTGAGTTATTATTTTATTAGTATTTTTTATTTAAATTTAATTATAAAATATATTTAAAAAAACTAAACATTAATATAAAAGTACTTTTTAATATTTTATTTTTTTAATTGTGATTATGTTTATTAGAACTTTCAAGGGCAAACTGAATAGGCTTGGCTAAAGACTTTGAAAATGTAAAATAAACTCGGCTTCATTTGTTTCATGAAAAATAACTTTTGAAAAATAATTTTTGAAAAATGTTTACATTTTTTAAATTGAAAGAGATTTTCTATTATTTAGATCATTTAATGAAATATATTTTTTGATATTTGATTGTTTTCTAAAAAATCCATTTTTTTCAAATAATATTAATATAATAATTAAAATATTAAAAATTATTTATTATTAAAGAATATTGAAATTATTTATTATTAAAATTATTAATATTAAAAATAATTATATTTTAATAATAATATTTAATATTAAAATATTATGCTAATATAAAAAATACTTAAAATAAATTATGTATTATTTTTATATTATTTATTAATATATTATAATATTAGTTATTAATAGTATATTATTTATTAATAGTATATTGTAATATTTATTAATTAATATAACAATATTTATTAATATATTATTTATTAATATAATATTATTGATAAGTAAAATTATACTCAAAAGTATTGATAAATAGTCCTACTCATAAATAGTTTTTTTTTTAAATATTTTCTCTTTTTTAAATCTATAAGATAATTTCTAAAAGAATGATTTTATTTTTCATTGCCTAATAAGTTATTTTTTGTTAACCAACCAATTTTTTACTAAATAAATATCTAAAAATATGAAAATTATTTTTCACAAAACAAACAAAATCTTGATTCAACCTGATTTAGCACATGAACATCTTTATTATAAATGTATAACATGTATCTCATTTTGATGGATTTCAAAATTAGGTGAAAGATGAGTTAAAAATTTTTTAAAAATTAAAAAATTATTTTACAAATATTATAAATTTTACCAAAAAAATAATTAAAAATACTATACAAATTCATTGGAAAGACATCTTGAATATCATTCAATGAGATATAACAATATTTTTCTTATTAAAGCAAAAACTCAAATGCCTTATATTTTTTAAAATAAAAAATTGTGCCTCAAGAGATAGTCAAGTACAAAATAACAAGATATTAATATACTTCTTTTTATTTTTAATTAAAATTTTGAAAACACATATTTTTCAAATTATTAAAAAATATATAGATACTTTAGCAACAAAATCAAATAATTAAATAAAAAATAATTTATATATAAAAACCGCACGTGACAAAATCTGACTCAGCTTCAAATTCGGACAAAACTGGTTACATAATTTTTAGTTTTACAGTCTTTTAGGGTTTTATACCTTTACATAATTTTTAGTTTTACAGTCTTTTAGGGTTTTATACCTGTTATCATTTCAAACATCTCTTCTAAAAAAACCTTTGAGAGACATTCATGGGTGTCAGCAATATATCCACCGCTGCTTCACTTTGTTTGGTCAAATCCAAAGCCAACTTTCATCAAACCGTGAATTCTCAAAGACCCATATGCTCTTTTGAAGGAAATCCTAGAAGGGTCATCATGGCTACTATCTCTTCATCTCCTTCCACTGTACCCGTCGAGCATGTCAATCAGAAGTTGAGTGGTGACTCTTTTATTCGACCTCATCTGAGAAAATTGTCTCCTTATCAACCCATTTTGCCTTTCGAGGTGATTGGAATAAAACCCGTATCACCATTCTTGTTGTTTAGTTTTATTCATTGATGATTGGAAATTTAACATTTTGTTTGTTATGTATTGGGTTCGAAAGTTTTGGTTTTTAGCCACTGTGAGTAGCTGAATTGGTTGAATGCTTGATTCTATTCTTGAATTTGAGTTGTCTTGGATGATTTACTTTGGTGGTCTTATTAATTGCTTCCTGGTTGAAACATGAGACAAGCTGACCACTATATACACACACACATAAAGTCAAGTAGGTACGTTTGATTTTACATTTTTAGGATTTTTAGTTGTTTTTTCTTTGCTGATATAGTTGGCTGTGTTTGATGTTTTTTAATTGTTTCTAATATGGTGAAAGTTTTTGCATATTATAGGATTGCTTGGCATGTGTCAATTCAAAATTATGAAACTATACATCTTAATGCAAAGTTGTCTTATGGAGTCATACTGATTCAAAACCAATGAACAATATTTTGTCCCCCACTTTCTCTTAGTGCAGTGGTATATTAAGCAACTGATTTTAATATCTTGACCTGATTGATAAATTATGGTTGTTTCTTGCCGATACATGTGGGTTTAGTGACTTGCATTAAGTTTACTAGACCTTCCATCATTGGCTTCCTCAGTGCATGTCATGTTAATGAATTAGTTGTTTTGTTTTCTTAATGAGTGGGTGCTCATGTTCTAGGTTTTGTCAGCAAAACTTGGAAGAAAGCCTGAGGATATCATCAAATTAGATGCAAATGAAAATCCTTACGGTCCACCTCCAGAGGCAAGTCATATACACAACTACATTTCCTTTTTATGTAGCCAAATTATAAGCATGAAAGAAGTTGAAGAAAAAAAATATTTGGGTTGAATTTGATTTTTGTGTTTGGTATGTATCGATTGCAGGCACCATTCTTGCAATTGAGTATTCCATTATCCCCTGATTGCAAATTTCAGATTGTTTGTAGGTTCTTGAAGCGTTGGGGTCATTGAAGTTCCCATATATCTATCCTGACCCTGAATCTCGTCAATTGCGTTCTGCCCTTGCTGAAGATTCGGGGCTTGAATCTGATTATATTCTTGTGGGTTGTGGCTGCGATGAGCTTATTGATTTGATCATGCGGTTAGAACCAGGAAACTTAGTTGGCATACCTATCCCTTAATTTCTACTCTCATGTAGCTTCAAGCACTATTGATTTTCCTTTTCTATTTTCAATTGATATTTTGTTGCAGATGTGTGCTTGATCCTGGCGACAAGATTGTTGACTGCCCTCCAACCTTTACAATGTATGAATTTGACGCTGGTGTTAATGGGGCACAAGTTATCAAAGGTAGAAATATGCTATCTACCTGTTTCACTTTCTTAGGCATCTTCAATCCTAACTTCTTAATTATCAGTTTTTGCATCTTGTGCACGGATTGTTTTCTTGGTAATCACTGGTTAATCCATTTAACATTTTTGGACCTAAGTTGTCGAGCTGTTCATATTTGTCAATCTGCTGTAAATATCTATAAGCATTTTAATCTTCTGTGCAGTTCCGAGGAAGTCGGACTTCAGCTTGAATGTGGAACTCATTTCTGAGGCTGTTGAGCGAGAAAAACCAAAATGCATATTTCTAACTTCTCCTAATAATCCAGATGGGAGGTAAGTTTTTTCAATGCCTTTTCCCTTTGTATATCTGGGGTACATGAACATTGTCTATGTTCGACAAGAGTGCTGCCTGATTGCCATTCTTTTCTAGATCAAATATACTCTACAAGGCACAAAAGGGGTGCCAATCCTAAACTCTAAATTTTAGAGGACAAGAGTGATGAAAAAAATGTTTGATGGAGTCATGCTTTTTGAATTTGTTTTACAAGACTGCCTTTTCTTTTCCTGGTGACTTGCTACTATAATTTAGTTGGTTCTTTTTGGTCCTCTTTTGGGTGGAGTTTCTGAAATTATTATGGAGATTTCATGAGCTTGTGGACTATATTCTAAATGTGGAATTTTGGAAACTGTGACCATATGTTGCCCTGTTCTGTTCTTCCATGTGGATTTTGTTTTGATACCTTCATTTCTATGTTATTTGTAATTTGGCAGTATAATTAGTGATGAAGTTCTCTTGAAGATCCTTGACATGCCTATATTGGTGGTGCTGGATGAAGCTTACATTGAGTTTTCAGGAATTGAATCTAGAATGCAATGGGTGAAGAAGCATGATAATCTAATTGTTCTTCGAACATTTAGCAAAAGAGCTGGTAAGCTTGTGATTTCTTGTCTCCGTTTTCAATTCTAGAAGTCAAGTTTTGCATGAATTTAGATGTTTGCCTTCAATTCTATTTGGTGGTGTGGTGTTGATAAGGTTTCAAAATCTTGAAAGCTGAGGGCTCATTGTTTCTTGATTGCTTTTCTTTTATAAAAGTGTACAACGAATTATGGATGAGATTATGATTTTTTTAGTGTTATTGCCTTCTTATTTTGTCTTTATTGTCAATCGTTACCTTTTTCAGTAGTTTGTAGTAAGATATCCGTAACAACTTTGTCTGCTAATTGGTTTCCAGCACTGGAGTTCAATCCTTGAAGGAATAATCATTTTCTATATTGCTTTCGTACGGATTTCCTGCATAAAGGATCTTTTTTTATTAAAACATTGTTAATTTGAGCTTTCTGGTGCTAGATAGTGTTTGGTAGGTTTAAAAATTAAGAACTCAGAAAAAAAAAAAAAAAAAGGTGGGAGGGTGGAGGAGGGATATGAGGAGAAGAATATAAATTAGCATCTTATTCAGAAATGAATGTGTATTTTTTTGTTGGGCAGGAGATTTATTTTTAATATAACGTTTTTAAAATCATTTAGTTAGTCTCAACTTAGTGTATATGTTTCTTCCAAATAAAAACTTTTTTTAATGAATACAATATCTTATATTCATCAGGTCTCTGATTTAAACAATGTTGAAGATTTTTATGACTTCAATGTATGCTTTTCTCTTTTGGGTACCCTGAGGTAGTGCATCTTCTTAGTTATATGGATAGTACTCGAACTTGAGGAATCTATCGCAGGTGATATTAGTATTGGACTCTGCTACATTGTAGGCGATACATGTTAAATTCTTCAAAATAAATCTGTCAGTAAGCTTGAGTCTGTCCACCCGCCCTTTTTTCTGTGCACTGAATTAGTTTGTGATGTTTGGTATTTTCAAGAAATTGTTGTCCACAGGTTCTAACAAAATGTTTTCCCTTTTTTATTATATTTTAGAGTGGAGTCAGTTATGCAAAGCTTCCTTCTTTTTAACTTTTTCCCCTCTCTGTTGGAGTTGGCTTGTGTAATAAACACAAGAACTTCTCCTGAATTGAAATACTTAAAAAAAATGTCTTCAACTTGTTGCCTGAACCAGTTGCTATTAAGCTATTCTTGGCTATACTTTACCCTTCTCTTTAATGACTAAGTTCTCATGTGTTGCTTTAGGCAATTCTCATGGATCCCAGTCCTTTGCATTGTGGTTAACTATATATATTTTTGGAAGCAAACCTGCAACTTGTATCCTCTGGATAGCAAAGTTCTAATATTCCTTGCAGATGGAAATTCAGTTTGTGTAATTCAATCTTGATAGCAGATAGACGCTTAGCTGGTTCATTGGGGACTTTTTTGGAAATTACATGTTTGTCAATGAATCATTGTCCTCAAAATAGTCTTATAATTATTCCTTTTCAAATTTACTTTGTCTCTTTCTGAGTGTATGTGGGGCATGTCTATACCCCACCTTCCCCATCCATACATCTCCAAGAAAGGGAAAAAAGAACTAAAACTTAATGTTGAAAATGAACATTTACCGCAGGTTTAGCTGGGCTTCGAGTTGGATATGGCTCATTCCCTTTGAGCATAATTGAGTATTTGTGGAGAGCAAAGCAACCATACAATGTTTCTGTTGCTGCTGAAGTTGCTGCATGTGCCGCCTTGCAGAACCCAAAATATCTAGAGGTTCTTACCTTTTTTTCCCCTTTTCAGTTCTTAACATGATTTCGGTCTTTATTTAGGCTTCTTCAAATACTGGTACAAAAATATTTCTAAAAAGGGATATTCTGATATCTGGATTTACTTATGCTTGAGAATCATTCCTAATACTGCTCTTCAAATCTTTAACAGACAGTGAAAGAGGCTTTGGTACAAGAACGCGATAGGCTTTTTAAACTTCTTAAGGAAGTACCATTTCTGAATCCATATCCAAGCTATTCTAATTTCATTTTATGTGAGGTGACATCTGCAATGGATGCTAAGAAATTAAAGGTACATGATCTCTCTCCCATTCACCACTTCTTTGTTCTCTGAATTATTTTGTTTCTTGCATAATATTATGCATGATTTGTCATGGTTGCATGCCTTCATCTTGGTTTATTTTCTCTTTTTCTTTTTAAGAAAAACCATAAAGTGCACCTCATACGAGATAGAACGTGTTTGAGATTGTATGTTAATCATCATAATCTGAAATGGATCATTTTGAGCTTTAGCGATTTGGTTGTTGTAGGAACCACGCGGTGAATGGTTCATAAGAATGCTTCTTTACCTTTTGATCACAATTTTATCAATGATCCATGACAATGCATCTTTACCTGTTGATTGAGATTCAGAAATTTTTTTTTTTTAACCTTTTCCACTGCATCAGCCATGACTTCAAATTTATGAAAACAGGATGACCTTTCAAAAATGGGGGTAATTGTCCGTCACTATAACAAGAAAGAGTTGAAGGGGTATATCCGTGTGACTGCTGGGAAGCCTGAACACACAGATGCCTTGATGGAGTGCTTGAGGCATCTATCGTGATTCCTTTCGCAAAACTGTGTTGACATTAAACAGGAGATTTATTCAATTTCCCTCAAGACCAGACAAAAAGTTTATATTTGAGTTGTTTGTATTGTCGTATGACGGAATTGTTTTTGATGTATTATGTCAACCTGCCTTTTGATTTAAGATTGTTAAATCGATAAATTTGTGCTGCACTGGTGGTAAAAACTGAGCCAAACGGGCCCTTAGTATAATGACTTCCAATATTTTGGGAAAGTATATTATTTATTACTGATCAAACATTACATCCTTGGTTGGATTTGTGATGTTAGAATTTAAAAATTCAAATCCCTAATTATACTTTTTTTTTGTTTCATATCAATTTGAACATTTTATCAAAGTTCATATCAAATGTACACGTCAACAAAATCCTAAAATAAATTTAGATTCATCATACAAAAAGAAGGGATTCTGCCCCAACTCTAGTAATTTTTAAAACTGCATTTCAACTCATTAACTGGCCAATTATCATTCAAGCCTAAAAGCCCCCCATCAAAATAACAAACTTTAATAGCCATTTGAGAGTGTTCAAAAAAATAATAATAATACAACAAATTTTAGGTGTAAGTAGTACAATGGTATTGGTGCTTCGTTACCTATGGACGTAGCAATGAATGTGAAGTAAGAACAATGACGTAGAAGAGAATTTTGTAATCGACAGAGCCTAGCAAATTAAAATTGAAGGAACTGCCGCAAGATGGTGCCATGCTTTAACATATCGTTGCAAGTTGCGAAATTCATTGTACTATGTCAATAACCAGATGCTGCAACTTGTAACACTGTTACGTTCTTCCCAAGGAACTGAACCAGCAGGGCCAAGAAAAGTGTACAAAAAATTTTGAAATTCAACAGGAAAGGTCGATAATACATACAGCACAAATTTACAACGTTGCCTGTTGCTGAACATTTCGCTTCTCCTCTGATCTATGTCGAAAAAGCTTAGCTATGGCTCTCCTCTCACAATCCTGCAATGAAAGAGATCGAAGGGAAAACATGAGAATCTAGAGTAATAATAGTTCAATTTTAAAATATACAGCCACTTTTTGTCAGCGCTACCTTGAACATGTTTAGATAGAATGGTTTGTCAGGATTCATCCTTTTTAATTTCTGGTATGTATATGCGAAACTTAGCTGATCACGGGGAGTAAATCGCTCAACCTCATTGAACCAAAGACATGAGAACAAATTTGACATTGGAGTGTGTGCTCTAACAATAAATGAACCTTCAGGCACATCTGCATACACACATAGCAAACATTACAAAATAGTAGTAATCTCAAACTGCCATAAAACCCTCAGGTGTATTGTATATGCATTTGTGTACATGCATATGACTCCATGCATCTAAGTGTGCTTGAGAATATAAACTTGTTAATAAACTTACTGCTAGGAAGAAGCTTGTTTGGATCTGAAGAGTTGAATCTCTTCAACCCATCAGCCCGATAGAAATCAAATTGCTCATCAATGACCGTATGATTATACTTGTTCAGCTTCTTATTTTGTGCAACCTCTTCCCAGATGCAATGTCGGTCATAATGATTAGAAATGGCATACTCATAACCTTTTCGCCACAAGAAGTAATCCAGAAGTTGTAAGGGGTCACGCTGTAGACGTAGTTTGCTATCCAACCAGATCGAGTACCTGAGACCACAATAGTTATGAAACAAAGGTCAAGCCTGTTTGTATAATATCATCCAGAAAACAGATAATCATAATAAAAAAAACTTACTAACTTGAAGCCAGAATTAAACTATACCCCACTAAATGATAATAAATTTGGTTCAAGATTTATGCTTTAGTTAGAGCAAGTTATCTTAAAAAATGACTTCATTCATGAAAAACAAAGTCACAAAATTTTGCACAAAAAGCTAACAGAACTGTCAGCAAGGGTTGGACTATTTTAACCTAATAATATTCACCACAAAACTTCATCCATCATCAAATAGAACAAGAAAATCCTAAGCAAAGTAATAAAAAATCTTAAACATATAAAAAATCAGCGGAGGCATTATAAAATAAAAATTTCCAAATGCCCAGTTCAAACCTTGCAGAAGGAAATAGTCGATGCGCTAACAGTTTTGGTATTTTGCCCACTCTGCGCATATCATCATATGGAAGATTCTTTACAACCACTATCTTCCATAAACCAATAAAACCACCATCAGGTGATTGACCTTCTGAAAATAGTGTTTGCATTGTGATTTCATCAACAAACATAACAAAGCAGACATTTTTCCTTGACAAGCGAGTAACCTAAAATCAGGAGAAAACAATGATTGAACCACTTTTATAATTCAAATCACATTTTTCTCAAGTAATTCAAAGATACGTATCACAAACACAAAATAGTTGTGCATGATAAACCCTTATAAGAAAATACAATTGTAAAATATGTATTAATGAAACTATGCAGAGAAGTAGTCTAACAATAAACTATGCAGGCTTTTTGGTTGTGGAGTATGGCAGAATAATTATTAAGGTTTTATAATCATGTCCTTTCCCAGGGTCAGGACAAAAGTGGCTTTAAGGTGTCCCAGACAAACCCAAGAAAGTATAATAAAATATTATTATTTAGCATATAAGAAATTGTATGCCCTCATAGCCATATAAATTGTTTATAGAGTATCAAATCTTGCTCGCTATGGAACTATCAGCCACCCCTGCTTTCAGGCCTTGATTTTCCTCAGTCAATCCACCACCAAAGATAGCTCTCCTCCCACCAACAGCAAGCCAGAAACCACCACCCTTCCTCTTCATTTTTTCCCTTCTCATCTTTTTGTTTGCCAAGCCATGCCGTTGTTTTTCTCCTTTTCTCCAACTTCTTAGCTCTAGAAGATAATCATGTCACCACAGACATCAGTCTTTTCGTTCAACATGCCGATCAGGATAACTTTAATGATTTTGAGAATAGAAAATCCAATATGCTTATTTGACAATAATTTGAATGACAAGACTTCACTGGCGTATAGGAACTTTAATAATCCCCGCAAAGTGTAGCTTGGAGAAAAAGGCAACTCCAGTAATGGGTATGGAAGGAGGATGAGTCCAAGTCAGGGATTGGGTAGAGGATGGAGATTTGAAAGGCTGGTGGGCAGAGAACACAATCATTACCTTCAACCCACCTTATTGCTGCAAATACAATGTTTCCTTGAAGGCATCTTTACCCAGCTCAAAAATTGGACAAAGTTATTAATCTGTGGAATGGAAAGAATGTATATACAGACTACTTCATTTTCTTTTGGCTTCAGCAAAAGTTTTTCTTTTTTCCTCCTTCCTTCTATTGTTCATTATCCAACAGCATTTTTTTGCCTCTGAATTGATGCACCCTTCAACATTCAAAAAACCTGGAAATTGCCATAGCAAAAGAAAAATACAAAACTTGCTAATTCTACAAGAAAATCACAAATCCAATACAGACATCAACATACCAAGTGCACAACTATAACCACTGACAGCCAAAAGAAGGGGATGAGCATGACTTGAGACATTCTAAAGAAAGCGATAACAGGGAGGAAGGAGATATGGAAGTACCAAATTAATGCTTCACAAGGAAATGGAAAGGAGAACAATAAAGAGAATGACAACTTATTTCTCCTCCTATATGGCTAGAGACACATGTATGTGCACTAGCATAAAGGTTCATAAAGGTTCTTATTAACGAACGATGCAAAAGATAAAACCCATGTCAGGTTATCACACAGTCACAGCGTCCAAATACAATCATAACAGTACTACTCAAGTCCAACCTCTATATGAAAATACAAACTGAACTGCTTTGAAAGATGCATAAAAAGAAGAAAAATAAAGCAAGCATGACAGAAAAGAACAGCAGATAGAAATTCACATCTAATTCTAAAACCAGACATGCATACCTTTTAAAATTCAAAATCAGTCACAAAAGCACAATGAGATTATGTTGTATTGTATGATTAACCCCATACCATTTTGCCAGCAGGTGTCCTCAAGCGATCTGAATTTCCAAAAATGCAAGAGATGACAGCAATGTGGCACTTGCTGATATAATTTACATCATCTTCTGCCAGATCAAAGCCAGTACTTGGATATTCTTGTGGACCTTTAACAAACCCACAATTTATCTTTTGATCATGTGCCAAAAAAGATTCCTCACGTTCTTGTAAACTCTGATGCCCAGCGAATTTAGGTGTCCATTGCTCTTCTCCCTCGGGCTTCTCCTCCATTTGTGTATACTGTAAGGAAAATCGTGCAAACTTTCGACTTTCTAAAGGCTCTACCAGGTGTGTTGAATTGAATAACTTCATATCACAAGAGCCTAAGATTTAAAAGTAAAATGTTGGTCAAGAAGTAAATATAAAGAATACATATTATTTAACAGATAAAGACACAATGAGAACACCCAGATCTAGAAATTTCAGGAGGACCTTTAATGGCATCCAGGAATTGATAAATGAATTTAACCTTCATGTTAGCAAAGAAAACTGGGGTTTTAAACTTCTCCTAGACTACTTTGCGATTAAGTTTTATGTAACTTCCTTTTTAGATTTGGGTATTAAGGCAAATATTTTATATTTTTATTGTACTATTGAGAATAAACAGTTCTGAAAGTGTGCTAGAGCAAAACATTGACAAAGTTTGCTGTTCTTTAGATAGGTGACACATTATTAAGATTTTAAAGATCTGAGATTTGTTCGGCATAAAGCTGTCAAAAAATTCTGTCCTTCATCTCTAATTTTTTAGCTCTCGATGTTATATTCATTCTGTCCTTCAAATTCCTTTTATGCAGACAGGATTTTCATACAAGCCCCAGCAAATGAATCCTAATCCTCAAGATTCGCCCAATCCTAATCATCCCTAGTTCTTTTCATGTCAAACCATAAACTTCTAACTGATCAGGGAAGAAAAAAACAATGTGAATTTTAAATCAGAATACCAGAGTCTGAAAAGCTAAGCACTGTTTGTTATCTTGAAATCACGCTGAATATAATTCGTACAGACAGACAAGTCTATGTATGTTCTCATATATGTAATGACATCCAACATGTACATAACAAAACAGTAGAATTACCTGAAAACTTGCGGTGCCTTGGTTTTCTTTTTGAATCTGTCCGTGAGTTTTTTCCAGATTTATGACCAAGGGAAATTGCATGATGAGAATTAGCATCAACGTCATCAAAATCTTGAGAGGCCTCCCTTGATAAAGTTGATTCTTCCTTAAGCTCTTTGACAACATGCTGATTGTTAGTTTTAGCATTAAAGAAAGTAGAGGACTCTTTAACATTTTCATCATGAGATTTTGCTTCATCTAAAATATCCTCCTTGTCATGTCCAAAATCATCATAATCTTCCGTTTGACTATCACCAGCATCAATGCCATCATTATAGTGGTCACCAGCATCATCAACCTCATCATACATTCCAAAGACCCTACTGTTAGCCGAATGAAGACTATTCCCAAGTTCTTTTCGTGATTTGCCCCCATTCTTCAGCGATGCCTCATATTCTGCTTCATACATTTTTAATTCATTGCGCCCTGCTTCATTGTACAACCCAACACCTCTACGATCCAAATCCCTATCAGAATCCAGGGAAGCCTCCTTCTCATTCTTCACTTTCATGGGAACATGGCCATCATCAAGAGACTCATCACTAGAATCCACAATTTTGTGCTCCACCATATCCTCATTGTAATCATCATCCCTTCTCCTATCATCCCTATCCCAATATCGTGAATCACGGCCATGCGCTACGGAACCATTGCCAAAATTAAGGATTGTAAAACTATCCATTCTTGTTACATTTGTAAGGAAATCAGAATCAACCTTGAAATCATCATCCTCAGAATGATAACTAATAAATTCTGCACCAACATACATCTAGTTAATAAATTGCACCCAGCAATAGATCATGTGTTCTTTCATACTTGGAAACTTAAAATTGATCAAAACATTCATTCTATTACAATTAACTCATAGGAAAAAAAAAGGGTCCAACGTAAACCCTAAAAGGAATGTTTCTCCATTCATTTAATTGAAACAGATGACATCCATTTTCATCAAATGACATGACAAAGTTGTTCCAAAAGAGAATAACTCCATCGCAGAATCTAAACAATGGAATTTCCATAACATCCAAAACTCTAATTCTTTTTCGGCACATCATAATAATAATAATAATAATAATAATAATAATAATAATTTTTCTTTAAGTTTTTGAATCTAAATCAACAGGAAACTACCAAAAGATAACACTGAGCTCATTCTAATTTCCTTCTCTTTTCTCTCCATTTCTCTGAATCCAAACGAATCCTAAGAATAAACAACCGGCACTGATCTATAAATAAGTAATTAATCTATAAAATGTGCAGATAAGCATTAGTAACTAAAATATCAAATTTCACTTTCTCGCATTTTTCCTGAGCAAACAAACAATAAATTACTGAAAAGAAGAAAATTTTCTAAAATTAACAGTAAAAAAATAATATAAAACTGACCTTTACTATTATCATTTTTATCAGCAGAGATGCAATAGTATACGAGAACAGTTATAAAAAAAACGAGAGAGAGAACGACGATGAGAGAGCCGATAGAGATTCGGCGCCTCTTGTCAGTGCGTCCCGATCGGCGCCATCGAGCCGCCTTGATCCCGGCGCCTCCTCTAACTCCAATGGCCACATGATCCGACGTCGTTCCGTTACCATAGTGGTACTGTTGCCTGTACTGAGGCATTCTCGCATTGTAATCTCCTTCTCTTTGTCTCTCTCTACTTAACTCATTGCCTTCTAGAGAGAGAAAAAAATTTTAAAATTATTTATAATATATATATATATATATATATATTGTGTATGTATGTATGTAAAGAGCTAAAACGAGACGAAGGGATTTGAAGTGTGTAATAAGAAATGTTTTTTTTTTTTTTTAATTTCTTAAGAAAAAAGTAATTTTGTTTTGAGAGACGGGGAAAGAAGGATCGGAGATGGAGATCAGGTTAGGTTGAATTTACGGAATTGTCCCTTGATTTGGAATGGATCTCAGTTTGTTTATACGCATGTTTTTAACTGTGTTCCATTTTATTAAATTGATTTTTAATTTATAAGTGGAAATAAAATATTGTTATATGTTTTATAATATATTTGCAATAATACAGGGTCAGTGTCTTTATCTTCGGTTCAATTTCGACTCAACTTTTTAATAACTTTATTTAATTTTGATTTGACCTTAAATCAGATTATAAATTTTGATATCCAACTAAATTCAATAATTTTAATTTAATATAATATGTAAAATATTAAATAATAATTTTATTAAATAATTATAAATAAATATAAAACTAAATAATTAATTAAAATATATATTTTTATATATACTAAATTAAAAAAAAATCACATTACTTTCAACTCGATTTTAATTTTAAAAAAATAAATCTAAATTTATTGGATTGAAACGAATTGAAATTCGTAACATATAAATTTTTTATTATACATATATATATTATTTTATTAATTTTTTTATATTTTAAAATTTTATTGTGAGACTAAAATAAATTTTTTTAAGATTTTGAAGATAATAGTATTTAAAAGATTTAACCAATGAATTATTAACTCAATTATACTAAAATTAGTTTCAAGATCAAGGACTTCGAATTTGAACCTTAATAGTATAAAAAATAATGAAAAACTTTTAAAGGTTAAATTAAAATTTGAAACTAAGTTTGATCGATAAGAAGAGAGAGTAGCTGTATTTGGTTACCCTGTACATTTCCCAATGTGAAAGAAAGCACAAATTTTGAGATAAAAAAAAAAAAAAAAAAAGATAACTTAGGCTTTAGTTAATAATAAAAAATAACAATACTCCTTAGGCTTAGGTTAAGCGCAATAAAACTTTGAAATTTTCTTAATTCCGAAGCAATTATTAACATATTGATTATAATTAATTTTTAAATACTTTTAAATTTATTTCAACTTCTACCTTTCCTGATCATCCAATTCATCATCAAATTGTTGGTGTTCCAATAATCATTGAAGAAAATTTTGATGATAAACATATGAAAATCAAGTTAAATAATAAACTTTGATATAATATTTCTTGCAACAAGAGCTAAGAGTCTGTATTCAAATAATATAGCTATTAGTATTTTTTTAACTTAAAACTCCCTTCATCTTTTTTTTTTTTTTTGCAAAAAATTACTACAAATGAAGAACAAAAACTCTAAAAAAATTCATATAAAACTTGGGCAACCTTTATAATCATGTATATTACCATTATCAATATTTTCAAACAATAGATAATGACAGTCGTCACTTGTTATAAATAATTGTCTTTCAACATCATTAAAAAAAAATTCAAATTTAAACTCTTTGAGCACAAAATATAAGCGCAAAGCACAATTACATTATTAAACATTAGGACCAACCATGCAGCGTTGATTATGTGAAACTTGGGCATTATCATTGCCATTTAATTTTCTGCTACAGCAGGGGAAAAAAAAAGAACAAAGCACAACATGCAATGATCAAATCGTGCAGCTAGCTAGCCATCATGATTCATGGAAAAAAAAAAAAAAAACCAAGAACAAGAAAACAAAATCATTGTTTGGTATTATTTTTTACAAAAGTTCCTAAGAACCACCTTTGGGTTTGAATGGTTGATATAGATACCAAAGAGTGGCCAAGATTGAAGAGGAAAACAAATGCACCCAAAATAAAACAAAGCATCAAATAGCCATTAATATAACAATTGATTAAATGATTGATACTGTTTCCTTTTCCTTTCGGCTATAGCACGTGATGATAATGCGGGAACCAAATGGATATATATGGATGTATATGTATTGTTCCTTCTTACATTGTATTATTAGTCTGCTTTTGTTCATAACTTCTGGTTTTATTTGTGAAGAAAAATCAGTTGATAGGAAAAGTTTCAATGTCACAACCTGTCCAAAATTAGTTGATATCTTTTGTGGTTTTGGGAAATGGCTCTTGGTAAGGCCCAAGGATGATGATGAAAAGGACCTGTCAAAGAGTAATTAAATTGGTATCACTTCATTAACTTGAACTTAATTTATAGTAAAACAAAAACAAGGAGGTTTGAAATAAGGATATTTAGGGACCTAATTGTAAGAGACATAAAAGTTACATCCTTAAGTGCAATGACAAAAAATTGAAGTGCATTATAAATACTCCTCTTACTTTCTTGGCCGAACACAACATTAAGAGACAATAGGCAAATGAGAATTGTAAAGTTGTAACACAAATGGAGAATTATGACAAAGCTAGGGTATTTTCCCTCAAAATTTAGCCGCACCTTATTTTTCATAAAAAAAAAAAAAAAAAAAAAAAGTTGTTTTTTTGTTTGGGTAAGATAAGATTTGGCTTCTCTTTTGATTGTGAAATCAAATACTAACTAGCACGAATTTAGAATCCCACTTTTAGAAGGTTTGGGCAAGAGTTGCTTATAGATCACCTTTAAAGGCCAAATAATTGGATGCCTTTAGTCTTGATCACCTTTGATTTTCACTTCAGTCCTTACATAGGGCTGACTTTACTCAAGATTATGATATCTGTGAGTATTAATATGATTCTAATCAAATGCATATTTATAAATTTAAAATTATAAATATAAACACAAATATGATTCTAGGATGTCTCGACTTTGATTGTTTATTTATTCCTTTGCGTTTTATTTACATATGATTTATACTCTCACGATAATTATTATCATTGATGCCGCAACAATCCTTACAAATGGGATGTCGGTGGGTGATAACCCTTCGAGTTCGGGGAGTTCTCTTGAATCCGAATACTCTTTTGAGTACCGAAAGCCATGAGAGGAAGTTCCTAACGTGGCCAACTGTTTGTGTGTGCGCGCCTGTCCTCTTCTAGGGGTCGGGCTCTGTTTGGACAGGTAACGGTTGGGTTTGTCCTTTGATTACTGAATCATGTCTTGTTTGGACAAGTGGCATTTGAATCTTGAGACCACCTGGGCTGCTCTTCAGTGATAGCTCTTGTGGGCTCCTTCTAATCTTAGGCCTTCACCCTCGGATGGCAAATGGACAAAACAAAGACAATGGACGCTAACAAATATATAAATGTGAGAACTCATCTCTTTAAACATATAATATATAAAGTATAAAAGAAAAGAAGGTTTGAAGCTAGACTTTTGAAGAAAAAAAAACATATATTTATCGTTGAACCCAATACATAATGAATTTATATTAACAAACGATATCCAATCAGTTTTCTTGGATATTTTCATATAAGCTCGATATAGTTTTGGACTAAATGGAATTAAATTAAGTGAAAATTAAATGCAAAAATATCAAACATCTCTTGGGACAGAGGAACTCGAAACGAAGGATAAATTATTATTATTATTATTATTATTATTATTATTATTATAAAATAAACTCCATAAAAAAAAAAAAACCCATACCACAAAATTTCAAGATGATTAAGAGGGATGGCAAATGTATCCGAATTCAAGTTTTACTTACTAATTTCTTTTAATTGAGTGTTGGATAGAATTGTGTATTTTAAAAAATGTTGGGGGGATTAGAGTAAAATTTAAGGTAAATATACTTCTACCCAACCCAATTTATATAATATATTTTTATTATTTATTTAATTTTATATTTATGTATATATTATATTAATAAAATTATTACTTAATATTTTTATTAAAATATTAATTTAATAAAAATATTAGATTATATATAATTAAAATATAATTTATTTTAAAAATATTATATTAAATTAAAATTATTAAATTAAATTTAGATCAAATCAAATCAATTAAAATTTTATATATACATGAGTAGAATTAAATATAAAAAATATATTTTAATAAAAAATAAAGCCAAACTTAAATATATATATTTTATAAAATTGGATCAAAGTCAAAGTGAAAAAAATCGGTTCAGATTTGACTCGACCCGACCCAATTCATTGGCATTTCTAGATTGGTTAGGCCTTACCCATATACCAGGGAAAAATTCTACCAAACAAGTGAGAACCAAAAGGAAAACGTCAGTTAACTTAAAAGCTCCTGGCCATAGCCGAAGGACAGACAAAACAAGGTAGGCACCCAGACTCTGAACTTATGGTGAGCATATTTGGAGTGGGTTCCATCTTCGCTTACCCTTCCCTTCAGAGCAAACATCATTTTTTTGTTCTGTTGTCAAGTTCTCAGTTACATGACTCTTGTTCAGGTGATTTTTTCTTTTCTCATCTCTAACAACTAAAATTTGCAATTTTATTGTGACTAGCAAAAACGGGTTATTTGTATTTATCATGTTTCGATATTGAATTATATTTAAGCCTTGAATTCGAAAGAAATAATTGCCTATCAAACATCTTGTTTTTAGATACTTTAGCTATGAAAGAGTTTACTTTTCTAAATTCTTCTATGGGGCTATAGTTGCTTGTATGGAGTTAGGATAGGCTTGGCTTTACAGCATTTCACATTCCATGTTCAAGAGGTTGATAATCAATGAAAGGGTTTTCCAGGACTAGGCATTTTATGCCATGTTATTGTTGCATTTTTTGGTAAACAATCCTCCAAACGGTTTATTTGGAAGTAGCTTTTGCATAAGGGTGCATATGGGCTCCTTGATGGAGCCTCTATTTTGAGCTCACCATGATTCTATGACGAAAGCTATTGGATTAATATGCTTTCCAGTTCCAGTTATAAAGAATGATGAGGATTGTGAGATTGTCTTTCATATTGGTTTTTATTGGTAGGTTGTTTTTTTTAACCAATGCCTTTTAAATACTAGTTGGTTCCTTGAATGCTTTTTTTTTTTTTAATCATGGAGTTTCTTGTCCTACAGATGGCTGTTTGAGTAGTTTGGCTTGGTGCAGTACTTTAAAATGAATTAAAAATACCTTCCACGGCCTACCAAGCTATTTGTTTTTCCTTAGGGTGATCTACTTAGCTTGAAAGAATTCCTGGATGCTAATAATACTTATAATGAGAAGTTCTACTGCTAGGATAATTTTTGTTTCTAATACAGTGAAAGTTTATTCAGTAGCTTGGTCTTCCCTGCAATATCTCTAAACTTAGTGGTTTTAAGGCAGCCTAAAGTTGAACTCTACAAAAACGAATATGAAGTGGTCATAGAAAATGGAATTTTTGGGAAAGCACCATAAACCAATTCTGGTTCCATTTAGGAATCACAACCTTGATTATTAAAGTATTATTAATATTTGTACTACTATCAAGATTATTGTATCCGATACTCTAAATGGTATACTATCTAGAACAATTTATATAACTCTTTAAAAGTGATGAGGTGTTCCATGGTCTTAATTAAATGAAGATCTAGCTGGTCTGAGTTTGCTGGGTTTTTTGAACTGAGCAGTCTGATGCTTAATTGGATATTGAGAAAATGTAAGATATCATGGTTCTAATTGCATAAGTCATGATGATCTTAAACATAATTTAGCAGTCTTGTTATGATTTTGAATTTCTCTCTAAATTGTTCAGACTTTGTTGGCTACTTTGCTTCTTAAGCAGTTCTCATTTCTCTGATAGTGCAGGGATGCCAGGGAAATTATTTGCTTCTTCTCTCTCGACATTTGATTCTGCAACTTCTTGTTTTTGTACTGTAAGTATCATCTAGGCACATAGTACATTATAAAACTTATGAACAATCTGGACTGCTGATGCTATTTTATTGGGTTTAGAGAATTAGGTGTGTTTTATAAGTAGCAGTGAAAAACATACACGTTGATAGAACATAAATAAATCAACTCCTGATCTCTTTAAAACGAAATGACCAGGATTCAAAGTTGGTTATAAGGTCGGCACGGTGAATAACACCAGAATACTATCCCAGTAAGAAGAGTTCTTTAGGTTGCTTGATTTGCCACCATTGCAAAACAATGATTAAAAGAAAAGCAAGTTAGAATAAAGAGCCTTTAATCCATTTTTTCTTTTTGGTAATAAAAAATTCTTGTCTTAGATTTAAAATGAACAGATGACCAAAAACAAAGGAAGAATGAAGAAGAAAGATATCAGGCCTAAAAGAGCAAATTATACTAAATGGATGTCTGCTTCAACATTAAAGAGGATACTTCTGCAGTGAATGCTTAATGTCTGCTGTTTCTTATCTTGATTCATACCTTCTATATTTAAGAGGAAAACAGTGAAATACTGCTAGAGGAGTCCACACTGCACAAGTTGTAATGAACCAAGAGGGACAAACTGGCAAAACATTGGGTATTTATTGATTTGAATCGAGCCTGATATAAAGGGGGTTTTAGAGTCAAATTTTCGAATTTAAGAAGATATTTCTCACTTAAAGTGGAACCTGCTTGTCAAGTTTTTATGCTCTCTAGTTGGGGCCAACAGGAATCGCCAATTTATTGAAACCTAATCAGCCTATGCCAGTCTACTTTTTGCTTACTTATCGTGCAATACTCCAAGTATCTATCCCTTTGATTTGCTGATTTTGGCATCCAGAGCAAGTCTTGTTTATAAGGCTTTACTTTTGGAGCTATTTTGCTGCACACCAGGTGGTAGATGGATATAATTCATTGTAGCTTGAATGGCAAGAAGAGAATCTCATTCTCATCAATGAAAACCAACAAGTTGTTTGCTAAACAGAAAACAAGTGAGGCTAACTCTTCTTTTGGGATGATAAATAAAAATCGTCCTAAGAAATGGGCTATTAAGGAGATTTCAGCAAGTAAAATCTTGATGCATTGATAAACAGTTTGAAGTTTTGTTATGTGGTGGTATGTAAAAAAAATATTAGTGTACATTTAGCCCAACAGATAGACAACATTTATTTTGGAGGTTGAATTATTTGCATATGCTTGCAGACATAATCATCAGGACTTTTTCTGAGCATTCCATTTACATCAACGTTTCCAATTCTTGTTTTCATACTTCACAGACAATTTGTTGGTTACCTGCTTATTATGACTGTGTTAAACATTTAGTTCATGGCATAATCTCCCCTTCTATGAGCATATAATCTTAAAAGGCACATCAACAGTGCACACGCTGCACATGCACCAGCATAAGAGTATGTACATTTATTTCCTCAATTCTTCTTGCAGCATGATGTTGCAACGTCTGCACCAAATATTGTACCATTCGGCGTAACCTTCTGTAATAGCCTCCCATGGAAAGCAATAAAGAGATTTGGCACCATCCATGTTTCTCCTAAGAAATGGGCAATTCATTCAACTGCACAAATTGAAAATTCAGCTCTGAGTAATGAAGACAGAAAGACATGGGAAGCTTGCAGGCAAGCTTTGTCTGCATTTAATTTCAGCACAGGGGAGGAAGACAAGATACTTGGAAAGGCATTTGGCCATGTCCATTCACCTTATTGGGGTGAAGAACGCAAGAAGGAAGTACCAAAACTTGAAGTTGTTAATGAAATATTAGATTATCTCAGGAGCCTAACTCTCTCAGATGATGATCTGCACAAGTTGCTCAAGAAATTTCCCGAAGTTCTCGGATGCAGTGTTGAACATGAGTTGAGAACAAATGTCCAGATACTGGAAAAAGACTGGGGAATAAAAGGTAAATCGCTTAAAAATCTTCTTCTTCGGAATCCAAAAGTGTTAGGTTACAATGTCGATTGTAAGGGAGATTGTATGGCACAATGCACGCGATGTTGGGTTAGGTTCTAGCTGTCTGAAATTAATTTCAAATACATTTCCGTACAAAGAGAGCATATAGTGTTCTTAATTTTTAGGCTACATGTGCTATTTGAATGTAAATGCAAGCTACCTTTTGGCCCCTGATATCTAATAACCTAATCTTCATGTTTGTTGATGCTTATTTTCTTTTTACTTTCTTATACTTTGTCAAATGGGGAGAATGGAAAATTGGGGAAGGGAAAATGAAATGAAACAAGTTGTAAATCATTTACTACTCTTTTCTTTTCTTTTTCTTTTTTTTCATTTTTTGTTTTGAAGGCATTATTCATTTGTTAAGTATTGACCCACTTCTTTGTTCTTACTTGTACCGAACTGTCTTTTAAGGGTAAAATCCTGAAAATACAAGATAGGGAGATTGGTCAATGAAAAATGTGGAGTTATTCCGACATTTGTATTTCAACGTTCAAGTCAATTCGATCTAAAAAAAGAGAAGGAGAATAAAAGTTTAAAAGTTATAAAGTATTAGATGATTTAGAAATACTTGGATGGGGTTATTTATACTGTGTGATGAGGAGTCTTACACCTAAGATGTCCAAAGTCGGTATAAGAGATTAGGGTTGATCTTGTAGGTCTGAGTTGAATTGGTAGTTGATCGTCCAGGCACAATAAATCAGCAATTTGGAGCACTAATCAGTCGATTGATGAGGTGTTCAAATTGACGTGAATTTCAAAATTTTAGGTCGATTTGTCTAGTCCACTTAACGAAAATAATCAAAATGCTTCACTTATCAATTGACTTATGCTTTGGAAAGAAATGATTAGTTTACTTTTTGGATACAAAAGTGTCCTAAAGAATTTTTTGCACTTAAAAATTTTTGTCCAAAAAAGGAAAAATGATACTAATTGATTATTAAGAAATTTAGAAAAGGCAAGTTTAGAATATACATATATACATACATATATATATATATATTCTTACTTGACTTAAACATTTGAACTTCACTTATTTCTTATTTAATTTAAATAAAATACATTAGCAATGGAAGTCAATATGATCCGTGGTTGATGGCCGTCGTTTCATGTGACTCTCACTTTTCTTCTCGCATTTGAAGACGCTAACGATGAGGATTGGCGAATCAAAAAATATGGAGCATCCAACTTTTATAGTTTTTTTTTTTTTTTTAATATGAAAGTTGCTGAACAATTATCGAAGTTATATATCTGTCATTAAATTAGCTGTTGTTGAAACATTTACCCAAAATCAATTCCAAGCTGGACTCCAAATAAAACTACCGTTGACTCTACCAATGTAACACATTACTTTAACTAGAGTGATGCTGATACCCTTTTACAGGTTGTAGCCCTGACAAGCACAATTCCGTTGTTGTCACCTACGTATAAATTTTGCTCAAATTTCATTTATCCATTTGTTTATTTATTTTTTACTTTTTATAAATATTAGTATATAGTTACAAACGTTTTTATAAATATTAGTATATAGTTACAAACGTAAATATGTTTTTAATATATTCAGCGGCGAAGGTTGAAATTAGGTAAAATTAATTTTAAAAGAAAAAAGATCAAAGTAATATTTTACTGAATTTGAACATTAGGTGTGAGAAAAAAATTAATAAAATTAAAAATCGATTTAAAATTATAATTTTTAGTTTGGATCATATCATTTTATTTCATTCGGTTCGAATTAAATTCAAATATTAAATTTATATATTAAGTTTGGATCGAATTTTAAATTAAAATATAAAAAATCAAAAAAATTGAAACAACTTAAATTATATATTTATGTTAATTTTTATACATATTTTAAATTTTTATAAAATAAAAATAAATATGATATATAAATTTATTTAAATATATTAAAATTTATATTAAATAATATATAAAAAACAAAAAATAATAAATTTAAAAACTAATGAACTGAATCAAATTAATAAAATTCGGTTCAAATTGATTTCAAAAAATAATTAATTTTGATTTGAACTAAATTTTAAATATCTATAATTTTATATATTATTTAAAAAAATTAAAATGAATTGTATTTAAACCTTTATCATTTTTATCAAGCACTATAATTATGAGAATAAAAGAGATTAAAAATTTTTAAGGGAGTTACGACTCTTATTTGCCCCTGGCCTACATATATTTTTATATAATATATAATACACTAAAAAAAGAGTAATTGGTAAAAATTAAATATTTTATTTGTAAAATTTGAATTTTATTTTACAATCAACAATTTCTTTTAATAAATAATTAATAAATTCAATATAAATTTTCATTAAAATTTACGAATGTCTTAGCTCTTGAACTTTAAATAATCTCTTTTTTTTTTTTTGAAAAAAAGTTAATTAAGAAATACAAAATACAAATGCGAAAAATAAGAATTTATAAAATTTAAAATATCTTATTTTAAAATTTTTTAATTTAAAAATTTGCTGTGCAAACACACTCCAGATTATTGGTAATATAAAGACAGTAATGCAGCGTGGGCATGGCTAGGGTGGCATACTATATATAGAGGAGATGATAATGGGGGACAAAACTGACAGCGTGTTCCAGTTCATAGCAGGAGAAGCAAAACAATATGGTTTGACATTGACTACATTATGCAGTAATGTCCTAAAAGTTGGATGGTCTAGACTTTAGACACAGCTAGCTGTCTCTTTTCATTGGGCGTAGGATTAAGTGCAGCCAGCTGTACCATATTACATTTACGTGTGAATCGAATCTAGAGAAAAACAAGAAATCCAGTTCAGAGGCAATCTCCTGTCTTTCTCCGTCTACCACGCGGTTGGCCTCATCACCAACATCGAAAAAAGAACCTGAATTTTTAATAAAATCGTCAGCTCTCAAGTTTTTTGAAATTTTTTTTACGTTTTATTTTTATTTTTTTGCATTCTTAAAAGGCATATTTTCACGTAATACATTTAAGATTTCATTTTTAAAATTAACAAGATAAAAAAAAAACTTTTCTTTTTAGCCATTGAACTAGGATATATTGAAACATTCCATAATTTTTTTTTTTTAACAAAAAATTATAATGATTACGAGGCAATATGTTTTAATAAAATCAAAATGGGATTCTACTGTTTAAATGGCATTTGCTGTGCCTATCTACTCAGTTAACCAAATCAACATGATAGTTGATATTTAGATATTCCGTTACAAAATAAATTTGCTCTCAACTATTAGAGATTCGTTCAATTATCTTCATTAACACTGCATCAATACATCAATACGTAATTTTAAAATAAAATCAATTAATTTTTAATTTATTTAAAATTATTAAATATAATTTATGTTTATTTAAAATTATTAAATATAAATTATATAAATATCTCATCAATTATCAACTATCTTAATCATATCCATATTATTCCTCTCATATTTAAAATAAAAAAAAAACTTAAATATAATACGGATTAAGTATTCTTCCTCTTTGAAACTTTTATAACGATTACTGAATATCTTCGTTTTCACTAAATCCTTAAACACTTTGCTGACAATAAAATGCATCTAGAAAAACCAATTTTGACGCATCTTAATCATGTGTTTTGGTTGCAAGTCCAACCTTCCCCTGAGACAGTTATCAAATCACTTCTTTCCAACTAACACCCCAAAACACCATCGCCAGCATTAAAAAGAGGGAACTGGAGTTTTAACAACCTCATTTGGGGTGTAGATATATGTGCCTCCCCAACACAATTAAATATATAATGATTCAAACCCATTCCGATTTCCCTCTTTTTAATTATGCATAGTAGTAGTAATTTATTTCTTGATTATGATGAAAAAGAAACTTTGGGAAAAGTGCTGTAGAAAAGGAAGTTTCCCAGGAACTTTGCGGGCTATGGCCATGCCTGACCACTATAAAAGCTTGGTTTGGGATCTTGGAAGGAACCAAGTTCCCATAAACCAAATAAAGTAAAAAATATATACCATCTTTGTTTCCCGTCTTGGTTGGAAATGGCCGGCAGCACCAAGACAACAGCACTCTTTCTTGCCCTTCTTTGCCTTGTCCTGCTATCTGAGGTATAATCTTTCTGCTAACAAGCAATGCTCCATTTTTTTCACATTTCAACAGGCCAAAGCTGGCCATTTTGCTAACTATTGGTTATAATTTTTTGGTACAATTTCCAGGTGGGAATGCTCATGGCTCAAATTCAAACACCAACATCCCCATCCCCAGGCCCTCAGGGTAAGAGAGTTTCTGGTTGAAGTTGATAGCTCTCAACTTTTATCAGTCATTTCATATTAATCATGTCTTTGTTTTTACCAGTTCCAGACGAATGCCCAACAAAGTGTGCGAAAAGATGCAGCAACTCATGGAAGCCAAAGATGTGCAACAAAACATGCGTTGCCTGCTGCCATAGGTGCCCTGATCACTGTGTACCTGATGGTCCTAAAGCTAGCAGAGATTCCTGCAAGTGCTACTCCCAGATCATGACCCATGGCAAATTCAAGTGCCCTTAAACCTTTTTTACTTGAGAGAGAAAAAAAAAAAAAAAAAAAGAAAATGTTTATGTTTTGTGGTTTCGTTGCCACATGTAATAAATAGGTTGGTGTAGGATTTTGTTATCCTTTTACTTCAAAAATAATATTATAGATAGTTATTCTTTTTTATTATGAAAGAAATATTCAATTTTCACTGTTAATAGAAAGCTTTTTACTGTCTCATTTTATATTATTTTTGTATTCATTCAATTTCTTATTTTTTATTTAATGAAATTTCAACACTACTGATTTCATCTTAAGTCCTAACAAATTTGAAAATAATGGCATTTGTTAGTATAATTATATATTTTAAAAATGAAATTGCAATAACTTTTTTTTATCCTTATGCAAATTTTCTGATTTATTTATTTATTTATTTAGACTTCTTAAATAAATAAATATTAAAAAATAAAAAATAAAAAAATTGGACAAGCTGACCTTATTTGGATTTCAAGGCCCAATTAAGAATTGTGCTTCAAAACTAAAACTAGATTGTTAAGTCAATATTTTAGACCCAAATCATTGCGAATTTAAATTAAATGGAAAGCAACCAAAAAGAACTAAATTACTAATTCAAAACAACTTAATCGGATCCGTTCAAAAAACGTATCAAATTAATTCGTATAAGATGAGGTATCCATACCATAATAAAATTAGATGTAAAGAAAACTTGAAATAAATTAATTACCTAAAGTGGGCTAGCGGTCATCATCGTTCATAAAGAAGCTTGATTTTTTTTTTTTAATTTATTAAAGAGTTGAATTAAAATAGTTTTTAACTATAAAAATTGATTTTAAGCAATGAAATTTCTAACCACTTTCGTCTATGAAAATAGTAAAGAAAAAAGCTAAAGATTAAAAACACCCTTGAATTATAATTTAATAATAATTTAAATTTTTAATATTTTATCATCATCAATTAAATTATTAATTTTTGCTTTCAAATCAAAACCCTTAAATAGATGAAATTTAATTATGTGATAAAATTTAATAAATCAACCTTTGCATTATAATTAATTAAACTCTTAAAGAGATAAAAAATAAAAAATATTTTATTTTATTAATTTTCATATATATATTAATTATATTACATGTCACACTTTAATATATTTTATTAATGTCAAATAAAATTTTATTTTAATTAACAAAAAAATTAACGTTTTTAATTTTTTCATTCAAATAAAAATTTAATTGAATGAAAGTAAAATTTGAAATGATTAACTGATTGCAATAAAAAAAATTTTGAATGATTTTTTAATTATAGTTAAAACCCTTTAGCCCAATGGAAATTTATCTACTACCATTAAACTTCACTTACTACAATGGGACTTTTGTTAAGGGATCCAATTCCTGACATGCAATGAACAATCGGGTAGATAATAATGCAATTTTGAGTTCATTACTAATGCTTAATTCATGTTTAATTCTTGGATTTGACTACTTAATTGGCCTCAAATTTTTTAGGTAAAATTTAATTAATTCATCTGCTTCTCCCCATAATAATAGTGATAATCCTTACTTTTATCATTTGGCAAAGCCCGCCTTATCCGTACTATTCATTATTTCTTGGCCATTTCCTCTAAAAAGTCGCTCAACTGTTCTACATTAGAAATTAGCTTCCTAAAATTACTTTGTGATTCATATCAAAGGCAAAGATCATGCCATAAATTTACAGCTCTATCCTCTATAAAAGAACCCTTCAGCTAGGATCTTGGAAGGAACCAACAAGGAAAGAACAGAGGAAAAAAAACCTTTTATTTTCAGTTTTTATTACTGTCCTAAGAAGTTTGGGAAATGGCCAGCACCAAGACAACTCCTTTGCTTGCTGTTCTTTGTCTTCTCCTGATATCTGAGGTACATATGTAATTAATTTTAAGGTTTATAGGAGCATTCATTGTTATCAAATTTTGTTAGAACTAATATTTAATAATTAAACAATTAAAATTTTTTATCATCTTTAATTATTAATAATTAATATCATCTCATCTCTAATTTCACATATATATGAATTTAAAATTTATTCAATTAATTCATGCAATTATTTTTAAAAATAATATTCAATAAATTTAAATTTCAAATTCCAATAACAATACCTCTACGACATCCTTTATAAAAGAAAATTGAACAGATATATGATCTTAGATACATTTAAGCCCTACCTGTTAAAATAATTTCTTTCTTTCTTTCTTAGTTAGTTTCCCTGACCCTGACCACAATGATTAATTATTTCTTTTTGACAATTTTCAGGTGGGGATGCTCATGGTTGAAGCTGAAAGTAAAGGTAAGAGAGTTTTTTGGATTGGAAAATGCATCCTTTATCTATCCATAGTATTTTCATGCAATGTGCCTTAATTATTATTATTACAATTTGGATATATATACATGCAGATTGCGAGACTAAGTGTGCATTCAGGTGCAGCAAGTCATGGAAGCCCAAGATGTGCCATAAAACATGCAACACTTGCTGTCAAATGTGCAATGATGGGTGCGTGCCTCCAGGACCTACTGCTAACAGGGATGTATGCCCTTGCTATGCACAAATGAAGACCCATGGGAACAGATACAAGTGCCCTTAAACAAATTATTTCTTAAATACAATCCACCTCTCAAAGGATTAATTAATTTTGATGTTAATTACTACTAATTACTGAGTCTAGTACTTTTTGTAAGATACTTGACTTGAACTAAATAAAACAAGGAGGGAAAAGAAAAATTGTAATTAGTTTTATGCTTTTCATGTCCTCTAATTGATTATATATAAGTGCAAGTTTAAGCTTTTTGCTTATATATTTATTTGTCTTTCAGAATCTCAACTAATTTTTAACTCCTTTTTTTTTTTTTTTTTGGATAATTTGAAGTGAAAGAGTAGGATAATTTTAACATTGGAAGTCTTCCAGTTACTCCTTTAAATGTAGAATTCAAATTCAGATATGCATTCACATGATATATAAGACGAAATTGAGAGACAAAATATACCATCTTGAACTTGGGTTTTTTCTTATTATTATTGTTTAAAAGAGAAAAAAAAAAGAGATTAATCCTCCAATCTCTTACATAAAAGAAATTAACAATTTATTTTTGGTAAATTATTTATTATCATATTAAAGGATTTTAGTGATTTATCCGCAATAATAATATATATGATTGTAGATTATATAATGAAAGATAAGTTTTTACCATATCATGATTTGAATATAATACTCCAAATTAGAGTTTGAAGTAGATGTGTCTCATTTGAGACATATATCATTTTATACATGAATTACTTTGAATTTATATTGAAATCAAATTTAGAGTTTATAAAAATAGCTTAATTATATTATATTATATTTATTTATTTATTAAATGGTAAATTTACTTGGTCATTGTAAACACCTCATTTTATCTGAGGTAAATTTTATAAGATAATTTATTTATTGACTTGGTTTTTATTAAATTAAAAATAAAAAATAAAAATGAAAAGAGTTTGATTAAAAAAAAAAAGATGTATCGGGTTGGGAGGGAGATTTGGATTAAAAATCTAAAGTTAAAGTTAATTAACAGATTCAAACAAAATAAAACTCATTTTCTTATTGAAACGGGGATTACAAGCTTATAAAAAAACTCCATCAGAAATAAGCAAGAACATACAACGAAAAGAAAATAGAAAGCATAAGAAAAAATTTGGAAAGAAGTTTCTAGCAAATATATATATTTGGTTTTTTTTTTTTTTTTTTGGAATTGGGAAAATTGGAATTAGTATGGCTTGAAGGATTTTAAAAGACAAACAGGATTTTGAGAATTTTTATAAATTTTTTTTCGAAATTTTTAGGAATTTCATAAATTAGTTGAATTTTTTGATGATATTTAAATTTTACGACCACGTTCCGACGAAGTTTTCTAATATCCGATGACTTATCCAGCAACAATCTCAGATTGAAGCTTGTTTTTCCAAAAGTCGATAAGTATTCAACCAGCATTCATTCTTTGCTAGAGAGAGAAAGCAAAGAAAAAAGGAGAAAGAGAGAGAGTAAGCAGAAAAATTCTAAGGAAAAAAAGTTTTAGCTTTATATACTCATAGCAAAACGACGTGGTTTTAAGATTATATATATTTTTTAAGATTCACGTGTTTCGCCAGAGTTGACTTAACCTAATCGCATGACCTAATTATTCGCACTTTTTGCCAAGCCGATGGAGCTTCAAAGCTAAGTTTTGAGCTATGCACTCCTAAGCCATTCTCTATGCCTGAAGCCGAGCTACCTTTTTAGCCCCCAAGTTGAGCCGTCCTTTTTAATTTCTTGGTTTTTATTTTATTTTATTTTATTTATTTAACTTCTATGCTATTTTATAATTGATTTTAATTGTTATTTTTTTAATTCATTAATTTATTTATTTATAAATTTTATTTGTCTTAGTTGATATTTTAAAAGAATTCAAAATAAATCCATAAATCTTGCCAAACGATTAGAGGATTTTTTATGGATTTAAGAATTGTTAAATTATTATTTCTACCAAACAATTGGAGAAATTCATAACAAATTTTTTATTAAAAATAAAAATAAAATGATTTTCAATCCCATCAAATGATCGAAGGATTCTGATTTTTTTTTTTTATGAATTCTACCAAACGATTAAAAAATTTCATAATGAATTTTAAGAAAAATAATTTTTTTTTAATTTTTAAATCCTACAAAAAGATTGGAGGATTCAAATTTTTGTTAAATCTTATCAAACTATTAGATAATTTAATGAATTTGTTTTTAAAAAAAATTTCATAAAATGATTTTCAACAAAAATCCCACCAAATGATTGGAAGATATGCATAAATATAAAATCTTACCAAATGATTGAAAGATTTTATTGATTGATTTCAAAAAAATAATTTCTTAGAAAATATATTAATGAATCTGATGACAGAGTCTTTTCATAATTAGACACAAATCTTTATGAATATTCTTAAAGTGAGGGAATTGTCTTAAATTTCTACTAAACAATTGGAGTAATTTTAAGAACAGTTTTTAATATTAAATTTACTAGGTAAATTACAAACACATTTTAAGGCTTTGATAATATAAAATCAAACTAGTACCATCAGTTAATAGGCATTATAAGAGTGCTATAATTTTTTTTATACGTAATCGTACTCTCGGATCTAGTCTTAGTTTCGTAGACATAAATCTACCTTTTAAAGATACTTAAGTTAGGCTTAGGATTTCTCTTTAAAATAAGATAGGTTTAGTTAAGTGGCCAATCACACCTTAATAAAAAAGATTAATGGTGACTCTTTAAGTTGTGTCTAGTTATACGTTATGACAGTTTAACGACTCCACTAGGGATAAAGGAGTCAGGCCAGTAAATGATTTCATATTATTCAAGCCTACTTTAATAAGTTTACAAGCTTTTGTTTTCTCCTTTGTGTTTTATTTTCATGTTATATATTGTCATTTATGTACATGTACATAACATAAGCTCTACACCTGAGCTCCATCCCCTAGGAAAGAGTAAAGTACCAACGTTTTTATGAGATTTCATGTCTTCACATGGGCTAGTGAAATACTTTCACTCAAATTAAGTCATTTTCATTTATAGCCTATAATGAATGAGGATTTAGGTGCCATACTAGTATGTGATGGACAATGATGTAAGAAATAATTAAGAAACCTCTAGAATTAACCCAAAGCACATATAGTTAACTTTATAAGCTTAATTTATAGATAAAGCCATGTCTCTCTTATCTTTTATAATTGACCCAAAGGTTAGAATCATATTATTATATTTTGTGCTAACATGTTTCCTTTTATTTCTTATATTGCATTAACTAACCAGCTTCTTTCTTTATTATTATTATTATTTTTTGCATATTCATAAAACATGCATATAAACTGTAAAATATATTTGCTCTGAAGATATTTCCAATAAAAGCTTTTATGAAACCTATAGAACATCTAGTTTGTGCTTGTCCATGTTTGCCAAATGCGAGTCACCTAATGAGTTGAATAAAGAATAAGAGAATATCCAATAGAAGGAAAATGATTGTCTACCATTTGGCTGTGTTTATACATAACCTAAAAAAGTCTAATTGCTCCTTAAACAAAATGATTTGCAAGATTTAACAGCCATATGGAAAAACATGAGCTCGTCAAGACAACAAGCTTTTTGTAAAAAATTTAGCCATATTATACACCTTATGTTAGTGAAAGTAAAGAGTTCACTCATAAAGGCAATAATGCAGTTGTGAGAGCTTTCCTATTGTTGTTTTATCTTTAATTAAGTGGTTACAATGCCAACCATAAAAGAGTACTTAGTTTTGGTAGGATTTCATATCCAACATCTAAATAAAATTTATATGAAGAAACAAAAGCTTGGATATCGTAAGAAGTTAGCTCATATCTTATAAGTCAACAATAAGGTTATAGATTCACAAATCCAAAAAGAAAGAGCACATAAGAGCATTCCTTGGGAGTTCTTCATGACTTCATTACAAACTATCCTAACAATGAGCAGGGATTGGATGTATTTGCCTTAGCCATATATGGTATGGTGATCTTTCCTAAAGTTTTAAGGCATGTTGAGATAGAAGTGGTAGATTTGAGCAGATAAAAAGAAGATGCAATCCTTCACTAGTAATCTTGGTAGAAACCATTAGGTCATTAAATCATTGTCGACAAAATGATAAAAGGGCAATTTTTGGGTTACACACCATTATTATACATATAGATGAGTCTTCTAGAATGTAAAAAGAATGTTTTCTCTAAATTTTATTTTCATAATCAAAATCTTGTTAAGGAATTCTATGAAAGCAAATGGCCATAGACGAAGACCAAGAAAGAATGTGAGTATTTTTTATAAGAGCTTACAAGTAGTCAAGTGCATGGTTAGTCTTATAGATAAGTTAAGAGCCTATGTTGTATCAATGTGGAGATGAAACTTGGGTCCCACTCTTATGATTGTGAGGATAACAAGTTATGCACCTTTTATGGTACAAAAACAATATAGAGCTGAGTAGTTTGTCCTTATAACACATAAGATGAATAAATTAGACTGCCTATATGGTGAGCCTAAAACTTTTCAAAAAATCAATAGCATATTCAAGGCATGGAAGAAGTCTAAGAGGGTGAGTTTTTAATCTTTCACTGATAGGGTCACCCCTGGATATATGACATGAAGGGCAAAAATGGGTAAAAAAGTTATGTTCACTTTTCAAGATTCTTACTAGTTAGTGAAACATCATATGGAATAGTTACCTTTAGAGTTAGAGTTTACAAAAAAGAATTTAAGTCTAAAAGAGACAAATTGAAGCAGCAAATTCAAAAGCTCTAAGAAAAAAATAAAGAAAGAAGCAATGAAGTAAGAGGCCAATATGAAGAAGATCATAAAAAAATGAGACACAACTATTAGTGACTTGTTAGAACTACATTAAGAATGTAAGAATATGACTACTGAAACAGCAAGACAAAAGGTTAGGGCCTAGAAAATGGCTAGGAAATGTGACACTGTCTTCAATAAGTTGATGGAATCACATTAAAAACGTAAAACGTTTCACATCTAAGCAGAGCCCAAAGAAATAAACATTATTGATTTGAGTTGTGAAAATAAAAAATTGAAGAAGAAATATTCTCAGATGGAAGATGATATGCTAAAGCTCAAAAAGAAAATGAAGCACTCAGAGAATATATTCAGGTTTTGAAATGAAGATTGAATGAGTAAGAGAATCACATCACCGCACTCATAAAGTAGC